GTGACAAGAGAGAGAAGAAAGAGACACAAGCCACCCCTTCTCCCCTCCCTCCCTTCCACACACCTGAGAGCGACGCCCGTCTGGTGGAGCGTTCAGCTCTCGGCTGGTGCAGGAACTTAAAGAAACGCCTCCCTCTCGGTGAGTCCGATGGAGTTGTGGAGCTTGATGGCCACCTACCTTTTCATCTGAACAGCAGCTAACCAACAGCACAGACACACACACAACACACAGACACAACACACACACCAGAATGCCAGCCCAGCCCACAATCCATCCCCTTTCTCACTCACTCGTCTTGGTATGGGTCCCCAGCCTGACTAGGCCAAAAGTGCCTTCGCCAATCGTATCTCCGAGGACGTACAGTAGTCGCCAACCTTCGTCACTCGGTGGTGCTCGCTGCTCGCCTCGTCCGCCTCACCACAGTGACTCGCCCCGGCCGAAGGGACGGTCATGCGGGCTGATGGTGCGGCACCGGGAGGTGCTGGGAGGCACACGTGACGTGCGGCCATGGTCAGGTAGATGGATAGATCAGGCGACTCGCGTCCTGAGGCTGATATTGAAGGATGGGACTGGAGAAAGAAACGGAAAAAAACTCTGTCTCCGAATCTCGAACCCTCTGTTTGGGTTAGGGCAATTGCTTGCGTGAAACAGATTTCCAGCAGAAGGCCAGTAGGCCTCCGGACGACTCCCACGCCAGGGAATGACGGAATGATGAGGTCTTCCCACCGTGGAGTAGATCCCCAACCACGCCAAGCTGCGACATTCCATGCCGAGGGACCTCGGATCGGCACTCGCCGAGAGCGCAGCTTCTATCCTTTCGTTTGAGCCCACTGGTGTCTAAGGACCAGCGCGCAGCTTCTATCCTTTCGTTTGAGCCCACTGGTGTCTAAGGACCAGCAGCCGCCTGTGTTGCACCCATCTGCTGGTGCTTGGAGGATTCCCATCGGTTGATTCATCCATCGCTTCTCATTTGCCTCAGTGGCCCAGTCGCCCATCCCCCTTGCTCGACAACAGCCCGCCAGAGGCGTCACGTCATTTGACTCCTTCTCGTGAGCTCGGTCGGCGATTCATCGCATCAGTCAGACTCGGTCGGTTCAACTCGGTTGGTCTCGCTACTGCTAGCTTCCTGTGGTGATGGTGGACGAGTCGCCCGGCCTGACAGCGCGTGTGACCGACCCTTCGGTGCCGGTCATCCCTCCCGCCCCGACCCGTGAGCGTGCCAACGTCGACGGCTGGAGCCCAGCAAGCCGGCCAAGTGGTGAGGGGAATGCCGCGAGCAGCCAGCACCAAGTCAAGAAGGTTGGCGACTACGTCCTCGGAGCGACGATCGGCGAAGGCACCTTTGGCAAAGTCAGGCTCGGGACCCACACAAGGACGAGTGAGTGAGAAAGACAAAAGACTCTGAGCTGGGCTGGGCAAATTGGTGTGTGTTGGATGTGCGTGCTGTGTGTGTTTTGTTGGTTGGTGTCCAGGCGAGAAGGTTGCCATCAAGATACTAGAGAAAGACAAGATCAAGGGCGACGAGGACTGGACCCGGGTCGTGCGGGAGATCAGCATTCTGCTGAGAATCCGACACCCACATGTCATCCAGCTGTACGAGGTAGGTACCGCACTCACCTCGCCATCCATCCATCCATCCATCCACTCTGTCTTGTTCTGTGCGTCTATCAGATTCTGCAGACACACGACCAGTTGCTGCTGATCATGGAGTATGCGTCGGGCGGCGAGCTCTTCGACTACATCAACGCGCACCGCGGGCTGACGGACAGGGAGGCCTGCAAGTTCCTCCAGCAGATCCTCGCCGGCGTCGAGAAGCTGCATCGCATGGGCGTGGCGCACAGGTGGGTGTGGTGTTTTGAAGGGAGGGAGGGAGGGAGGGAGGTGTGTCCCCTCCTGTGAGTGGGAATGCCACTGCAGTGCCTCTGTCTGTCTGTCTGTCGCTCGCTCCTCTGTTGTGTTGGTGCTGTCTGTCAGGGACCTCAAGGCCGAGAACCTTCTGCTGGATGAGTATCGCGACATCAAGGTCGTGGATTTCGGACTATCGAATACATACCACGTGAGTGAGGGAGGGAGGGGGAACATACACACGTGCATGCCTCCATGCATCAGCTGTCCGCGCACGCACACACATCTGGGTGGGGTGCGGTATCATCTTCTGTCTCTCTGTGCATGTGTGTGAGTGCAGGCCGGTCAGTCGCTCAAGACGGCGTGTGGCTCGCCCCAGTACGCCGCGCCCGAGGTGAGACACTGACGACACACAGACACACACACACACACACACACACGTGCATTCCTCCTCCTCACCCAAAGCTCTCTTGGTCGTTAGTTAACGAATGGTGTGTTGTGTTGTCATGCAGATGCTGGCAGGCCATCACTACGAGCCCGGCGGCAGCGACGTGTGGTCGTGCGGGTGAGTTGACAGACAGACCAGCGACAGACAGACACGCGTGGCGTGGCATCGCATCCATCACACAATGAATGCGTGCATGTCTGCATGTCTGTGTTGTGTTGTGTTGTGGGTGCATTGCATTGACTGCAGAGTGGTGTTGTACGCAATGATATGCGGCCACCTGCCCTTCGAGGACCGCGACACGGCCAGGCTCTACGGCAAGATACTCAAAAGGCGACTACGAGGTATCCACACGAAAGCAGACGTCACATCCCATGCATCACATGCTTCACACACTGGACTGACTCACTGGATGAATGGTAAATGCTTACTTACGTGTCTTCGATCGATCAGCTGCCCCGTTGTGTATCTGAAGGAGCTGCCGATCTCATCCGCGGCATGCTCACGGTGAGGCCCGAACAACGTCTCCAAATCCACCAGATCCGTCAGCACCCTTGGTGAGTGAGGGAGGGACTGAGGGGAGGGACCAGACAGACAGACAGACAGACAGCAAGTGATGTGGGCGCATGTGCGTGTGTGTGTGTGTGCAGGTATCAGCACTTCCAGGTCATGGACCCCGAGCGGCCGCCGCGTTTGTCGGAGGGGGGACACTCCTCATCCTGCGAGGTACCACATGTGTCTGTCTGTGTGTCTGTCTGTGTGTCGCCGGATGGGAGAGTGCCTGTCATATCTCATCTGTCATTTCTCTGCAGCTAGTTTCCCGGTTCTTTTCCTGGTTGGCGTCCTGTGAGCGGTGCCGCAACTGGAGGGAGCTCGAACTGATTCAGGCAAGACATAGACACACACACACACACACGCAGGCATCCATGTCTCTCTGTCTCTGTGTGTGTCTGTCGATGGGATGCGGTGCAGTTGGACGATGAGGTCCTGGACGAGTGTGCGCGTCTGTGGAAGCTCAGCCGGCGGGACATCGTTTCACAGCTGCAGCAGAACAAAC